CGCGAGCGCGGTCACCAAAACGTTGGTGATACCAGCACTGACCACTGTCACTGTCACGGCTTCGCGATCGGTCTTGCGAACGCGATCTGGATGTTCTCGTCGTCGGTCGCCGCGGTTCACTCGCGAATAGCTTCGCCATTGCCTGCGACATCTCCACTAACTGCTGCTCGATGCGTTTTAGTCTGTCGTCTTCTGGACTGGATTTGGCCACCTCCTGGAGTGCTGTGCCGGGCATTACTGTCTCCATAACAGCGTCGGCCAGCTCCGCGACATCGTCCAACGCGGCATTCTTCTGTGTCGCGAGAATTGCCTGGACACTAGACGGCAGGCGCCCTATCCACAGCGTGCGAAGGAGCGAATCGGAAACGGTAGATCCTGCCAAAGCCTTTAATCTTCGCAAAAACTGGGACGGTTTCGAGTCCCCGATTTCTTCGCGCTCTAGGAGTCGCCTCGTTTTTTGTTCCTGAGACGTACTCAGTCGTCTTATTAAAGCTGCCCTAAGTGCGGAATAAGGCTTTTCTCGGGGTGGATTCATTAACAGGTCGCGCACTTCACTCATCACGTTCCTATCTAGAGCAGTAACGAGGTAATCAAACTTTGCCTCTTCATTTGTCACACGCGCTATTCGAAAACTTCTGTCCACTACCTGAACCCACATCTCTACATCGTCCGAAATAAATGGTGGAAGTTTCACTGCCACATGGTTCACTTCCGTCGCGGCATAATTTTCGACTTGGTTTTCTTCGTTGAGGCTCATGTTGCTTGCTGCGTTGCGCGAACTAAAACCACTCTAATTTGCACAAAATCGCGTACTTTTACTGAAAAGATCACGTCGGGGTCACCACTTGAGGGTTGCTTTCGCTGTACAGCAAGAAATAAACGCTCTCTCAACGGTACTAATAAAGAATTTTATTGAAAACTGGTGTACAGAAAACTTGTGTATGGAAAGACGTGTTAACAGGGTGAATGTTCGTTGGAGAGTAGTTGGAGAGTGCCTTGTGGTTGAAGTCGGTCGTATATCGGGTACGCGTCTGGTAGCCGGCACCAGCAGCCCTTCTTGGAACGTTGGTTCGTACGGTCTGGTGGCCTGCACCAGCAGCCCTTCTTGGAACGCTGGTTCGTCCGGCGGCATCCTGCGGCACTCTTGACGTTGTGCTTTCAAATATGGGTCACTTGCAAACATGTGTACCCACAGTTCTCTACAAATTGTGAAAAAACGAGCGATTTTTGCGGTCACTCTTTCATCAGTATATGTGTATCTACCACAAAGTTATAACGTTTTGGGTGAAGCGAGTATTTGATAGTCATCATGGAAATATTGAACAGCATATATCAGTAAAGGTCTGTTTTAAAGTCGGTAAAACAGCCATGGAAACGTCTCAACTGCTACAAACGGTTTAGGGCGAGGTCTGACTGTGTTCCTCTGATTCAAGAGGTTTTGTGATGGCATGACGATGGAAGGGTGTCCTCGCAGAAGCCGAACAAACAAAACAGCGAAGTCTGATCGTCGATTAATCGTACACGGTCTGTCAACATTCTGAGGATTGTCATATGTATTTACAAAATAATTTTCGATCTCTGGCACTTCGTTAGTTTTATATAGTTACATTAAAAAGGATTTCGGGAGCTGCCCAGTGACGGCGTAGATAAAAGTTTAAGTGCAGTTTGAAATATGAATTAAAATTCAACTATTTATTTGGTTAAAAAAAATATATGTCGGATAAGTATTCTGGGGATTATGCATTTATTACTACAAAAAAATTGACCCCTACTTAACGTTACACCCTGTATAACAATCTTCGATGTTTCTTTATGAAATAGCACATTATTTAAGCTAATAATTTATAAAGTAGAAATAAGTTGATGTAAGTTCTAAACTTCCAGTGCATAATATCTAATAGTTAAAGGAATTTTATTTGAAGGTATTTTAACCACTTTTTTTGTGTATTTCAAGATCCATACGTTCTTCCAATTCAAATACTTTTCTTGTAGAATGTAGTGGCTAATGGAAATGTGCCGCAAGACGAAGACCAGCCTTCTGTGAAAGTTCTCGGCATGGAAATGACTGCCAGCTGTGAAGGTGGGAAAAAATGGTCACGACCGAACTCTCCGGTTTTACCTGCCTCGTCTCAGGCTCCACGGGAACCACCCGAACTACCCCAGGTAGGCGTAAAAGAATTTATTGCCAGAGGAGAACACATGTTTTTTACGTTTTCAAATAGCAATCTGGGTGTATTTTTGTTTTCAGGAAATATTCCTGGAAGGGGCGTTACCGGCACAGTCACATTTACTAGTGGCCGATTCAGCAACCGAAGCCGAAAAAACTAGCTCTGAGGAAGACCCGGCCGTTGTGCTTGCGGGAAAGATGACTTTGTCCGTTATTAGCCTCGATTCTTCTGGTAAGTATTACAAGATATGAAAATGTATGAATATGATGTGATTTAATTCAGTTCTTAAGTCGTAAACAAAGAGAATTCTGTATTTCAGTTATATACTTTTTGGAAATGATTCTCATGATTTTGTTAATGAATTTTTGTTTGTCTCCACTATTGTAACGTTCAGTCATAAATATAATAACTAAAGATCATAAAATATATAAATTTGTTGATTAAAAGCATTATATTTTATTCCCTGAAAATTAAGATACTTCTGCAATACCAAATTTGAAAACATGCCAATAATTGAAACAACGTGAATATATTATCAGTTATATTTTAAGTAATTTTTTTTTTTACCAACGGTAACATTTAAGGTTCTAATAGCAGTAAACTTTAATTCAATAATTATTTAATAGTGATTATAACAGTACAGAATTTTTTCTAGAATAAATGATATAAGTCTATCACTTCCCAAAAATTGCAGCAGCAAAAAATCATATATCGAAATGTTTATTTCTTCATTTTTAATTACTGTCTCACTTTTAGTTAGCTTAAGATATGAACAGAAAGAAAAGGTTGTAGAAATTCAAAGGCCAGGACTTATTTTTGTAGTTATTCTGCTAAACTGTCGAGAGATTGAAAAAAATTATTTTAAGACCGTAGAACAAGTAGCGGAAGAAATAGTGTCAGCGTTGTTATTCCTTGTGTAAAAATGAAAATCAGAGATTTTTTTACTTATAACAACTATGCGCGGTGACCGACATTGACAATGTAAAATGTCTCTTCAAGTTTGTTTTTTGTTAAAAAACTGCAACTGTTTGACAAAACGTCATACGAGTATATAACACGTGAAAGTGAAATGGTTTTATATATTTGTCAAAACAATTATTAATGATTTGTGTCCCTTTTATACATAAATAAAATTGGATAGGGTCTACAATATAGAAGACGACAAAGTTCCTGCATATTCTACACTAATGCAAAAAATTTAAAGGGTCAAAAAGATTTCCGAAATTTTTCCGTGATTTTTGACAGACTGTATTTAGGTGAAAAATGGTCGTATCGGGAATTTAAAAAAAAGCATTTTGAAGCTCTAAGATTGTAGTTTTTAGACCTTTTGTTCGAAATTTTTTAGGAGCTACAGTTATCATGCAATAGCTTGTTTATTCAGCTTTAATTTCATTTTTTTTTAAATTTCGATACGTCCATTTTCCATCGAAATATCGTACTTTTAATGAAAAATGATCCTTTTGTCTTCAATCATCGATATCTCGGCATCAAATGGACGTACAAAGAACTAAAGAACAGTTTCAAAAACTGGAATAAATTTTCTGTAACATGCTATCACAATTTTTCGGAAAAAAATGTTTTTTCATCTTTTACACGAATTTAAAAAACCAGGAAAAAAAGGTAATTTATAGTTTTTTAAAAAATTGACGGCTAAATTAGAAATATTCACGAAATGACTAATGTTGATCATGACTTTGACAGTTCGATATGCCCAGAAGAACCCTGTGAAATTTCATCTTGATCTAGCAAACTGTTTCTTTGTTTCAAACAGTCAACCATTTGGAAAAAAAAATGATCACGTTTTTTGAACTTAAACACTTCATAATTATGATTAAAATGAAAAAAAAATTTTTTTTCAGGTTTTCTCACATTTTTACCGCAAATAACGTTTAAATTGATGAAAAAAAAATTTTTGAAAAAATGTTTTTGTTTTTTTGGAAAACTTTCCGGACATTGAAGAAAACAAAATCCAGTTGTTTCCAGCACGATTCATACCGTTTTTTGAGACAACAGTTTTTTTCAAAACTCCCCATTTACTTTTCCGAAAAATATTTCTAAATTTTTTTTTCAATTTAAACGAAAAAGAAAATTTTTTCCGAAAAGTTGTGGCAGCATGTTATAAGGAAATTTATTCCAGTCTTCGAAACTGCCCTTCAATTCTTGAAAAACCTTCCAGACATTGAGGAAAACAAAATCCAATTGTTTCCAGCAGGATTCGGGTTTTTTCGTCCTATGCTTCTGTTCATCAACTTTTAATTAAAGTAAAATTAAAGTTGTTGACCCAAACCAGATTTCAACCCCGATTTATACCGTTTTTTTGAGACAAATTTCTAATGAATTTTTTTGCAGTCTGTAATGACTTAAAAAACAGTTTTTTTTCAAAACTACCCTTTTTCTTCTCTGAAAAAAAAAAAATTTTTTTTTCGTCAATTTATACGAAAAAAAAAATTTTCTGAAAAGTTGCGATAGCATGTTATGGGAAAAGACAAAAGGATCCTTTTCCATTAAAAGTCCGATATTTCGATCAAAAATGGTCGTATCGAAATTTAAAAAAAAGGAAATTGAAGCTGAATAAACAAACTATGAAAAAAAAAATTTCCAAGTTCGTGGACTTGGAAAAAAATATAATTTGCAAAAATTTTTTCTTAGAATTGCATGATAACCATAGTTCCTAAAAAATTTGGACCGAAAGATCTAAAAACTAGAATCTTGGAGCTTGAAAATGCGTTTTTTTAATTCCCGATGAGGGTTGCTTTCGCTGTACAGCAAGAAATAAAACGCTTTCTCAACGGTAATAATAAACTGTTTTATTGAAAACTATATTGTGGAAAAAGACGTGTTGACGGTTTGAGGATTAGCTGGAGAGTCGTTGGAGAGTGCCTTGTGGTTGAAGTCGGTCGTTCATGGGTACGCATCTGGTGACCGGCGCCAGCAGCCCTTCTTGGAACGCTGGTTCGTCCGGCGGCGTCCTGCGGAGCTTTTGATGTTGTGCTTTCAAATATGGGTCACTTGCAAACATGTGTACCCACACCCGATATGACCATTTTTCACTTAAATACAGTCTGTCAAAAATCACGGAAAAATTTCGGAAATTCATTTGACCCTTTAATTTTTTGCATTAGTTTATAATATAAAAATTGTCAAGAATAACATCATCAGATCCACTATTGCATATCGGACTGTATGATTTCTCTTACTAGTAGTTGGAAGTGGTGCCTCTGCTGTGAAAACACAGTACTTTACTACAAAACAGTCGAATCGTGTATACAAAATGCCACAAGTGGCGGATCAGTCTCATAACATTAATTCAAATAGTAAACAATTGCAGTAATTCATCATGCATTGCAGTTTAGTGGTACCCACTTAAATCGTTAAAAACCGTTGAGAATAATAGGTATGTTGATATGTGTGGTATTGTATTAACATTAGTCTCTAATCCCACTATAACGTCTCAAGAAACGGATTTTAAAAGATGTCATCCCCTACTAAATAATTCCTTACTCATTTGCACTGTATAGTTAGAGCATACACGACACATATTATTGAAAGAATCACATATTTCAGATGTAGCTTCTCACTTAAATTTTACAACAAGAGCAACATTTATTCTAGAACTAATTCAGGAACTTTTGTATCGGTAAACATTGTTAAAATTTTTGCAGAGAACGGAACAGACGAATCTTCAAATTTGGACAAAAAGGAAAGAAGCAGTAGCAACGTTTCTGGCAATTTTGAAAAAATTGAGGCAAAAGAGCAAGTCGAAGAAGATCCCCAAAACGTAATAGACTCTATACAACGATTACAAGAAATCCAGTTATTGGAACAAATTCAAAACGAAATAAAGGAACTCGACGAAAAAGACGTCATTACCAAGGTTGAAAGTGCCGCTGAACCCGTTCTGTTACAAAATGTTGAAAAACACCTTTCTGAACCAACAGGCATTGATTCAACTACAGACGATAAAGTAACGGAATTTATTGAGAAAGAAAAAGATCAACAGGTTGATTCAATCGGAATAAAAGAGGTCGATAAAATAGATGCTGTTACCAAAGTTGAAAATGTCATTGAACCCGTTCTGTTACAAAATATTGAAAAACAACTTCCTGAAACCACCGATATCCAAACAACTGCAGATGAAATAGTAACAGAAAAAGATCAACAGCATGACTCTATAGAAGGAAGCGAAATCAAGGGAAAAGATGTGACTACCACAGTTCAAAGTACTGTTGAACCCATTCTGTTACAAAATGTTGAAAAACAACTTCCTGGAACCACAGACATTGATTCAACAAAAGAGGATCAACAGCATGATTCGATCAACGTAAGCGAAATCAAAGAAACAGATTTGATTACCGAAGTTGAGACTGCTGTTGAACCCATTGTGTTACAAAATGTTGAAGAACAACTTCCCGAACCCACAGGCAGTGATTTAACAGGTGATATAGTAACGGATGATTCCATCAAAGTAACTGAACCCAAAGAAGATAATGTCATTACGAAAGTTGAAAGTGCCATTGAACCCGTTCTGTTACAAAATGTCGAAGATCAACTTCGTGCACCTACAGACATCGGTTCAACTACAGATGATATAGTAAAGGAATTTATTGATAAAGAAAAAGATCAACAGCATGACTCAATCAAAATAAAACAAATCGAGGAAAAAGATGTCATTACCAAAGTTGAAAGTGCCGTTGAACCCGTTCTGTTACAAAACGTCAAAGATCAACTTCGTGATATAATAGAAGAAGGTCAACAATTCACATCTATTTCTACGCAGCCAAATAACGTTGACATAGAACAAAGTTTGCATGTACCTCAGCAAGAAATAAATGCACAGGAAAGTAGTGAAACTCCTACACCAGAATTACCAGAAGTTTCCGAGTCGTTACTTTCAAGTGGTATTTCGGAGTCGTTATTATCGAGTCAAGTTTTTGAACAACCATCACCGATAAGTGACATTTCTGAACCACTAATTTCAAGCGACATTTCTGAATCTTTACTCTCGAGTAAGGTTTCCGAGACGTTGGATGCGCCTATTTCGAATAAAGTGCCTGAAACCGAGATCAATTTGGATTTAGAAGAACAACTTGTAAGTGCAGATGATGAAAGAAGTATAAATGATAAAGAACCTCAATTTGTTAGCAAAGAAACCAAATCCGAAGTTGCACCGACAAGTGCCGTAAGTATTACCGAGATCAAAGCTGAAATATCGGAACCTATCAACGAAGAAACAGACTCTTTTGCCAAATTAAATGAAGCCATATCAGACCTTTCCTCCGAGTTTAGGTCTAGGGATGAGAAGGAGGGACAAATTCACAGGCTTGACGAGCCATTAGGTGACGACGAGGAAGAAATAGAATACGAGTACGAAGACAGTGACAATGAAGTGGTCGATGAAGAAATTCGCAATGTAAATAGATTAGATGACGGATTGGATGATGCTGTCGCTTACGGAAGACTGAATGGTGAAAATCAGGAGCACTCCAAATACGGCACTACTAGCAGCGCTACTTTAGCGGAGAATGATATATCAGACGTATGTATTATAACTTGCATGGAATTGTCTTCTTAAAATCTCAAGTTTGTCGTTAATTATTTGTATTTGTTACAAAATGTAACTATTTTTTTCTCTGTTTATTTGGATATTTGGATACCTGGTAAAAAACTTATTACATTAAAATTTTACTACAACAAATTTCTTAAAGATGCAGAATACGTTATTATTAGTTTCTGATCATCTTGTAGATGGCGCTAGTCATGACATTTGACAGTGACATTTAGGGTACAAGTTTTTTGTGGTTAGGTTTCCTGAGTTGTAGGTCATATAAGTATTAAGTAAAATTTCATTTTTCACGAAAAGGAATTCTTGAATTTCTGAAAATAAACTTTCTGATGAAAACGCGATTGATTGTGCCACAGTCAATCGGTTGGTACATCGCGTTTCCAAACAAACTAATCCATTTTCGATGTTTAGGGCATTAAAAATTTTAATTTTCTAACTTTGTAAAAGAACTCCCAAATTTTAGAAGCAGACTAGCAATCATTTGAAGGGTGTGAGAACCGTCATCTCTATTTCATTTTCAACTTTTGAAGATTACCTTGCTGTTTATTGCCCGTCTAGGAAATTTATTTGGTAGATAATGACAATTTTCAAAGTGCCCGAATGAAGGTCACAGTCTCTTTTAATACTGTTATTTACCTCCAAAATTTTAGACGAATTCCATTGGATTATATAACCGTTTTCTCAAGCAAAATTCACAAATTTTTAAAGACTAGCATAAGAAACCTTCCATATTCAGAAAAAAATCCATTTCCAAACATTCCGAGAAGAAATTTTAAAACCAGATAAACTAATTTGAATGTTCCTAGAAACTTTACGGGAAAATTGCCTGTATTAAATTTAAAGTATCAAATTTATCATCAAATATTAATTTAGGAGCTACGGACTTTTTGCATTCTGTTAGTAAGAAGTGTTGCCTGATTGGGCTATTTATTACAAATTGAGAATTTACGAATTTTATGCAACTGCGTCATTTGGAAAAATCGCCACTCACAATTTCAGCGATTTTATGTTTACCCTGACAAAATTTATTTGTTCATATTTATTCTTTTTTTGATAAAAGGCAATCTGTGATCTAGGATTCAGTTCATCTCCACTTTTCGACAGTTCCATTTCGACATTGCAATTTGCTATACAGGGTATAGCAAAAGTACCGGTACGGCAGAATAACTTTCGGGAGAGCATTTTAAAAAAAAAAGATACAAAAAAAACAAGAAAGATCCCTCCCTAGCCAACGGAGAACGACACAGAAACCAACACCGACAAGAAAAATCAAAGCAAAACAAACACTCTAAAATAAAATCCCCCCCAGCCAAGCTACCCTGCCGGTACTGTACTTAGGTTGAACCTTGTGGGGGCGCCAAGGTCAAAAGGGAGGGGTCACTCAAGGTCATATCTGAACGTAAAATTTTCCGCTCTTCATTTCTGGAGTCAAAAGTATAAGGTCCCATTTGAAAAATTACATTTGACCTTCACCGTCACCATTGGATAGCCAGGGAGAAATACTGAAATTTTTCTATTTAACATTTTTCTCTAAAATGCTCTCCCACCGAGTTATTCTGCCGTTCCGGTACTTTTGCTATACCCTGCGTAGAAAGAGAGAAGTATGACCAAATCTCAATCCATTGTTGTTTATTCCATGGTTATACGGTAGAATCCAGTTTTGTGTCACATCTGATGAATTTTGTAATATTCCCCCAGAAAATCTGACTATACTCGACTTGCACTTGGAGGTGAATGTGTCTTTCTCTTGTAATGTCAGGTTGAGTGCAAAAGTGCAAATAAGCCAAACATGCTAGTAGTAAGTCCACGATGTTTTTGGAACTCATCATAATGCGTTTACAAAAAAGTCTTACGATTTATAAAGATCTTTAGATTATTTAGAGATATTTTTCAAAAACACAATCAGATTATTTCTGAAGAATATGAAGAATTTTAAATTATAACGAATACGAATTAATATAGTTGAAATTAATGGTGATTATGTATATAAATCCAGGTCCAAATACCTAGTCTTAAAAATGTTAATTCAAAAGTTAATTTCAAAATACTTTTTTTTTGCACATATTTTGGTTTTGGCACATTCTAATACTTTGAAAAACATGTAGAGAAGTTCAAAGCAATTCTGAAGTGTTCCCATAAGGATATCCAAAACCTGTTATGTCTCGTCTACGTCTGGTGATTTTGCCAACAAATGACTTGGTTATTTACTAGATATTGCGAGTGTAATTCAATGCTAGATGGAGTTGTAAATCACAGAGTAGTTGTTTCCCACAATGTCATTAGTCAAGTACTTGGTATTCGTGGAAAGTCGTCAGTATAGTAAAGTTGCTTTAAAAAATGATTTTAAGTTTCTAAAATTTTGATTTGAAAATTTACCGGAATTGCAAAAAATTTGTACCTCGTATATTACGAATTTTTATTTTTCAAATTCCCAAATTCTTATGCAATCTGTGCTCTTCTATTTTTTTTTGCACGTGGTAAACTATTCGAATAAACAGAAAAACCTAAAATTTTACCACAAATAACCTCAGACAATACAGTAACAAATTTTTTTTATGGAATCCGCAGCGGCAATGATTTTTTGATATAGCTCAGTCAATATGTTACAGGAAGAGGTTCTGGAGGAAGAAGACGATGATGAAGTTCAAGAAATCATAGAATATATCACCGAAGACGAAGAAGAGGTTGAAGATATCGTAGAACTAGCTCTTATAAACGATACGAACCATCTACCCGAACAACCCGGGTCCCAATAATGACTCACATTCATATCTACCGAGCGTTTTCATTATTATTTCACTAAGCGAATCAATAGAACCTAATTAACATTATGTATATTAACTTTTAGCCGATAGTTGACTGTTTAATATTTTAAAACTTACTTATACATATAGAATTGATATTTAATTGTGGTGTTAGTATTTATTATAGCGTTATATTGTCACAGACTGAATACTGATCAGAAATGATGTTTGAAAGTATATTTTTCACAAGGCTGTTGTCTTTTAAACGTCATAGTAACTAACAATGTGAGTGTTGGGCAAGGTATCGATATATTTTATATTGCATAATTTTTAATATTTGTTTATCTTAAAATAATTTAAAATTCAGTTAGTGCGATTAAATTGTTGGTCCGTATATCTTTCTAGTCTCATTGTTAATTGTGCTCCAAACTGGTAATGATAAATTAAATATTGTTAATAAGTGTTTTATTTCCTGCTCAACCTCCTAAAAACCTTCGCACCCTGTAGACTAGCTCTTGAAGTTCAGCGATGAAATTGAGCAATTTAATATAGTCCAGGCGATATCTGTTTCGGGTTGGGCAAAACGTATATGATCGGAGATTTTTGCCTTAACGGCTTCTAAATAACATCAGAAATGAAAATTCTTCTATGCAAATAAAAAAACGGCTTAAAAGTAAAAAAAATTGCAAAAAATTCATTTTTTTTCTTGGATTTCTCGTCGACAACTTTGCAACTATTCGTTTTAGACAAAAATGGAAGAGGAAAAAAGTTTTGTAATTAAATTTTGAACAAGGTAGAGTTAGTTGCAATTCGAAAAAATGATTGTTGCAAAAATCGGAAAAATGCTAGTTTTTGCAATTTTCACGCTTATAAACAATTGCAATAATTTAATGTTTTTTTTAATTTTTTTTTTGTAAAATATGGTTTGAAAGTATTCGGAAAGACGAGTATTTAAAAAAAAAAACTGATGATCCGCCCATTATTTTCGGAGTTATGGCCCGTTAAAGTTAACCCTTATTTACAGCAAAAATATAAAGGCGTAAGGGCTATTTTTTGAACTAATAGGTTTGTCTCCCGAGTATTTTCCAGATATAAATTTTCAAAATTTGCGATCACGGGCGTTCCATTGAAAATGTCGCTCAAAGATATTCAAGAATCAATGAGGTATCAGTGGTGGGGGGAGCAAATATACAGCTACTCCGATCTGAATTATTGAGAATTTTTAAAATATTTTAATTTAAACAAAAAAATTCAAACAATTATGTAAAAACTATAGAACCGAATTGGATGAAATTTGGTGTGATGATTCTATGCTCCAAGAAGTTTAATTGGGAAAAGTATGAAGATCCTAGGTATTATTCAAGTGTCTGAAAAAAATTGACGAATAAACTAGCATTTTTTGCAATTTTTTAAATGATTTTTCCAATTTTTTATTTTCGAATTGCAACTAACTCTCATGTTCAAAATTTAATTACAAAACATTTTTCCTCTTCCATTTTTGTCTAAAACGAATAGTTGCTAAGTTGTCGACGAGAAATCCAAGAAAAAAATGAATTTTTTTGCTATTTTTTATACTTTTTTGCAATAACAATTAAGCCCACGTTTTTTTATTTGCATAAAAATATTATCATTTCTGATGTTATTTAGAAGCCGTTAAAGCAAAAATCTCCTATCATATGCGTTTTACCCAAATATGTATATGTTGAAAACTGAAATTTCCAAAATGTCGTTCTGTAAATAAAAAAAATCGTTTAAATTCAGATTACGTCGACACAAAAAAAAACTAAGCTCACAGGTTGTTTTTTTGTAGCTATAAAAAATTTACTGATTTGTTTGATACTAAATAAATCAGACTAAGGAATCTTTTTCTTTACAACACTTTATTATTACACCTTAAAAATATTCTTTATACAGCTGATACTCTACTTGCCGATTAATTTTAACAGCATTATTGTGAGACATGATATACAAGATTGAAATTCTATATTTACAATAAAATTACATTTGCTGAAGTAAAAATGACCAAATAAATACCACTTAAAAAAAAACATTTATGTTTATTTAGGTAACTGAACAAGCACTACAAATTTGTTAATAATTTACGATTTAGTAGTTGTCCAATTTCTTGGCCTCTCCGCAGTTAGCGTAAAATCTGGAGTGGCTGGCCATGCGGCTCTAGAAACAGTTTTGAAATCATCGCCAGGATGAAGCGTCCAACCATGTTCCACCGCGGTTTTCTTAATAAGAGCAAATATACCCAAAAACATGCCCATATTAAAACCAACCATAGGTTTTTTGCTCCATACTCCAAAAACGCTTCCTGCAGCGAAACCCCCCAGAAACCAGTTTAACTTATCATCTTTCTTTCTTAGACTGGCGGCTAGATTAGTTGTACATACAAATGCGGTACTAACACCAACAATGGGCAATCCTACATAAGCATATCGGCCTAATGTCTGCAAATAACCTTTGGGATGAGAATATAACATTACATCGCAAGTAGAAATGCCAAAGGCTACCAGGGCGGTGGGTCTTAGTATACACCACAGCTTTTTAAACGTGTCTTGTCCATCTGGCGTATCAAAATATTTATAAGGTTTTTGTTGTTCAATTGACATTTTTATTCTACAATTACAATTATGTAAGTTCAAAAATTATAATCACGTAACATAACCAAGAAAAGAATTTCTTCTTCTACTTCTAATATTGGTTCTTGTCATCTAGCGTATTAGAACTACAGCTTATAAAACAATTTGTAAACGCAAATGAAATATGTAGAGCTTATACATTAATAGTTGCATATATTTTTTAAAATTTTGTTGGTATTAATTTTCTCTATATTTTTCAAGTTGTTCTCTATCTCTCTCTATTTAGAGATAAATAGAAATAATAAATGACGAGATAATAATTTTAGATATATATCGATTTATATTTAAAATATTTTTATTTTCATAAGATTCTTTTCCAGAACGTTCAAATAACAAATCTTAAAACGTTTCTCTAATTTATTACATTGTCTCTTTCTAATATGTCTGAAATACTTAAAAGATAATCTAATTGTGATGATAGATTTTCGATTTTTTAGTCGGTACAAAAAAATATAGTCTCAAAAAAATTTTCCTCATACATTATAAAAACAAAAATACAAATAAACGATAATACTAAAAAAAAATTAAACTGTATCTGGTTCTTTATTATAAGCTTCCATAATTTTCTCCATGATTTCCCAATGTTTATCTTTCGGCAAATCCTTAACGAAAACGTTGTACCAAACTTCATCATCCGTGTCCTCAATTAGAGGCAACTGTACTCCATAACACTGCAATGCGAGTGAAATGCAGGCAATCGCTATGTGCCGAGGATTGTAATCTAAAATGCTAGGGTCATGATGGAAATCCTGCAAAAATGCTGCCGAAGCACTAGCCACGGGAATCGTCTCCCACTGTTCCTTGCCAAGCCAACCTTCCATCGATTTTAGATAATGAAGCATATACTTGTGTGGGTGTGTCGTACCCACTTCGAATTTGAGGACTCTCATTATCAACAGTTCTGCTTGAACAATTGCGTCTCGCATGTTCCAGTACTCGTCTCCAATCTCGAGGGGGCTGCTTCCCCTATGAAGTGTATTGTGAGCTACATTTATTATGTCGCGGATCTTTAGTGGGTCATCTTTCACCTTTCCAGCCAAATAGAGAGACGACGCTGCAATTAACTAAATATAATATTTTATTATTACTAATAGTAAATTGTGATAGATACACGTATAAAATAATAATTGCCCATAAAACATTTTAAATGACAAAGTATAAAATTAAAATATTATATAAAAAAAACCCAACACCTGAAATTGAAGACAATAAATCCACAATTATAACTACACGTTCATATTTATTATGCTAATAATAATGTCTATTACTTGTATTTTTTTAATACTGTACAGACTGTCCCGTTTAGAACTGGAAGGTGAGTTCATCTTGGAAAATATGGGAGTAGTTCATAGTTCATGTAATGACTTTCTCATAAACTTTGTAATTGAAACGATTTGTTAGTAGTTATTGTTAATTTTATAAGCTGCGCTATCAGATAAATCAGCGGTATTCAAACTGTGTTCTGCGGAACCCTGGGGTTCCGCACAAGCTCTCTGGGGGTTCTTCGACTCAAGTCAAAAATTGAAAATTTTATTATCGATAATTACAAAATTAAAAAAAATGTATAATCTTGTTATTTTTATAAGTACACACGTATAAGTTACTATAAGAGCTTAATCTATTTATGGAAGAGCAAGTAAATACTCGGCTTATAACTTGTAAGCTGGCACGGCGTTCTTCCGTTGGTTACGTTGCCTTTGCCTTTTTGGCTATATAGAAATTTATAAGGAATATCCTGAAATTGCTGACCAGACAATAAAAATGTATTAATGCCTTTTGCAACTACGTACCTGTGCGAAAAATTATTTTCCACGTGCGTAGGGACAAAAACAAAGTATTGCAATGCGCTTAGTGCAGAATTTGAAATGCTATTGCAACTTACGACAATAGCACCTGATTTTAACATATTTTGTAAAAATATTCAAGCACATCCCAGTCTTTGACTATATTTACTCTTTTTTTAATTACTCAATAAATATTTACTTTAACTTTAAAGTCTTACTTTAATTTTTACTTAGTAGAATATTTATTTTGTTAATAGTAGTACATATTTATAAATATATTAAATAATCAGTAAAAAATGTGTTTGAAAATTTTTTTAGATATAGGTGTTCCTCAAAAAAATCGAAATGTTGGCAGGGTTCCGCACGTCGTAAAAGTTTGAAGACCACTGAGATATTTTATTATCTTTAAATCGCCTAAAGATAAAGCTGTAAAAATTTGTACATGAATAAATATCAACTGTTTTAAGAAAACTGCACTAAAGTTGTTACTTTAAACAGGGCAGCAAATTTATTTAGGAAAGTTGTAACTTTACTGGCTGCTAATATAAAAAAATTGTTAATTTTTAAGAAACTAAAACTAAAATTAATTAATCAATACTTAATTGACTGCCATGATTTGCCAACCATGATTTTTTTTACTATTTGTTAAACATAAACATTTAATTAATGTTTATGTTTAATTAATATTTTTTTAATTTGTTTTAATTAAATCAGATTATTAAAATTTGTCAAATTGTACTGAACCCATAATAACATACTTGTTCATTTATACATTTTTAAATAAACTATTGCTGTTTTCTATGTGTGTACTTCGATTTTCAACTAGTATACCTTTTTTATATTATCCTTTGGGGTTTGCAAAAAGCTGTTAGAATGTTTAAGTAATGTTGAATTGTAACATATTTTTTTCTTCAGTTATAGGTACCCTTCAAACTGTCCTCATCTATGCCACTGATATTGTAATAAAATGGTTTGCATGTTTTTTTTTAAATACAGTAACAATTCTACATCTTGAAAACACAACATTAATAAGAAAAAAGTTATATGAACCCCTACTTTTTTTTCAAAAAGAACTCGTCCCTATATTTGTTTAAAGTATAAATGGGACAAGCTGTCTGAGTGAAAGTTGGGATCATTAATAAATTCAATAACAAATTGAAATTGTGAAAGTTAATATTGACATCCTTGCTTTGAATGCAATTTAAATAAATTAAAAGATGTCGAATGTGATCAGAATCTCCAATTGTTTTGTTTACTCTAATGTCCGACTCAAGTTTATTCTTGATAATTTTATTGTTTTGTTAGTCTTGTATTGGTACGTATTTGATAACTACTGTAAATATTTAAATTAATATACTCACAAAGGGGTCATAATTTGAGGGGTCAACTTCTCTGAAAAATCTATGCATAATTACAGCAGCCGTTGCCAATGTCAGTGGCTGACCTCCTAGTTTCACACCACATTCAAATATAAATCTGGCCGGAGTAAACCCTCCATTAAATTCCAACTGCTTGTAGTCAACCGGGGTAACTTTTCTAGATTTTTCTCTTTGTAATTCCATGACATCGATAACGTCTTTCATTGTGTATTTATTTGGTGTATTAAACAAATAACTAGAACAGAACATGTGGCATAAATTTGTTAAAATAATTAATTAAAAATTACTTACCTTTATCCCTTATGTTCTGTTAATTCTTAGTTGAAAACTCGAAGTTACGACCTTTGTTATAATTATAATTGTTAATTCTCTTTAAAATAGCTACCGGTAAATTTATATTTCACCACATGTACTACCGGATTGGAAGAGATCTGAAAACATCGATAAGAGATTAAATTAAATTAACTGTAAAGTACTGTAAAGCGTTGACGTACTGACACTGACGTTACAGTACGATAAACAAGATGGAAAAAGAAAGAATAGTCGTCTTGCATCTTGCACTGTCTGGCACTATCCCTTCCCTTCCTTTTCCTACCTAATGCTTTATTTTTGTTAGTTGTTGGCGTTGACGTTGCGCAAACAGAGGCGTTTTAAGATATGTTTTATGGTTTTAACCTTAATATTAATTCATTATTTTTATTAATATTTATTTTTAACTAACAGAAATTATTTCTTTTTAAAATTTAAAATCCACGAGTTGCCTTCACTTTTCTATTTGTATCCAAATCATGTACTATGAATTAATAATTATTTTTTAGTATTATTAGTACTTGGGAATGATAACTATTTTTCTTTAGTCCCCACTAGGTTTAATTGGGTGGAAAAAGTTGTTAATGCATTAGTTGATCAGTACAGTAGCCAAAGATTTACAAATTTGTGAAAAAGTGTAAGTAAATAGCGAAGGTGAAAGAATACATGTTTACAAAAATTAACCGGTAGTTCGTAGTGATATCATTCTCTCTTTCTCTAAAACCATAAGTATAACAGGGACAAAGTAGTAATCTGAGAATACGGAGTAAATTTCGTAAAGCCCCCAATGGTGATATCTGGGGGCTTTCCTTTTGTCAAAAATGGTACCTATTAGCAACTAATATCAGTTCAGAGTAACTCTAAGCTGCTATTAGCTACTAATAGTTACAATTTTTGCCAAATCGAAAGGCCCTCTGAACTGAAACAAATCGAAATTGTTATAAACTGGAAATAGGTCATATATTCAACTGTTCCTCAAGTCTTCCCCATGGAAATATATATCTACTTTCTGCTACTTACCTTGTTCTGTGGCCTGTGGCGTTTGGGATTCAAGAAGAAGGAGAAGAAGAAGTTAACCTTGATTACTAATCGTTATGAATGTTTACTTATAATTAGTTAAAAATTAGTTTATTTTACGTTTTACGTTTATCTCAAAAGAAAAACGTATTATTAAATAATGTCTGAGAGTATACAAGGAAGTAGCTGTTCGTTTATTTTTAAAAAACGTAATATAAAGAATAAATCTGCTAGAAAACGAGAACATTCTAATTCTGAAGGTTTGAATTTACGATAAATAATACATGTAATTTTAAGTTTTACTTATAATATAGATATAATTTTAATTATGTTTTAGCAACTAGTGAAGAAGAACAAACAGTAATCAAACAAAATAAACGTAGAAGTAAATCGAACCCAAACATTCAGAGTAGTAGTAAAGGGCACGGGAAAGATGCATCTGTAGTTCAGAATGGGTCTTCATCTAGTGACGAAGATTTTGGAGTAAATTATAAGTCCAATAAATCGGCTATGCCTGCAGGCCCTACGGATCAAGGGGCCACTGCTACTGTTGTAAGCATACAAAAATTTTTATGATCCGTTAATTTGTAATATTTTTGTTTAGTGGATTTACTCTATAGTTTTTAGGAAATTGACACTGAAATAGATCGGGATGCACAAGCTCTTTTTGAAAAGAGGTTAGAAGTTAACAAGGAACTTGAAGGAAAAGAAGACGACAAAGTCTACAGAGGCCTTAATAACTATGCTCAATACTATAAACCTAAAGATACAGCGGCAGGGAATGCTAGTTCAGGTATAAATCTAGTTGGATTAGATTATTTCCTAATTTTATTGATTGTGGAGACTAAAAACATCCATTTTTTAGGATTGGTAAGAAAGGGACCAATTCGTGCACCTGCTAACTTAAGAGCCACTGTTAGATGGGATTATCAACCAGATATATGCAAGGATTACAAAGAGACGGGTTTCTGTGGATTCGGCGATAGCTGTAAATTTTTACATGACAGGAGCGATTACAAACATGGTTGGCAGTTGGAAAGAGAGTGGAACGAAGGAAAATATGGTGAGGAGAGTGACGATGAGTCAAAATATGAGATACATTCAGACGAAGAAGAATTGCCTTTTAAATGCGTAATATGCAGGAATAGTTTTGTCGATCCTGTTGTATCTAAGTATGTATCAGAGTAACCTCGTAAGTAGCAAAACAAACTGATTGTGTGATTATTATTTACAGGTGTAAACACTATTTTTGTGAAAAGTGTGCATTAGAAAGATATAAGAAGACTACAAGATGTTTCGTTTGTAATAAACCAATTACTGTTTTTAATCCAGCAAATAATTTGATAGCCAAGCTGAAAAATGTGGATGAAGGCGCCCAAAAAGCAGAATCTGATGATTCTTCGGATTGATGCATTGTATGTACAGTGGCAATCTCGAAAACCAGGAGTTATCAGGGAATATCATAGTTCTACAATATCGGAGATATTCTGCAATCTTCACATAATTTTTTTTAGTTGTCACGTTGTGGAAAAGTAAATTTATATCGAAATAAATGTAAAAAAAATTGAAGAGTAATTTTTCCAATTTTTTTTTGTATTTCTGCTTTTATTTTTAACACAAGCTCCTTAAATATATTTTTTTAATTATGTAAGTTAATAATTTTACTCACGAATTTATGGCAACTTAATCAAATTAAACAACACTAAAATGTATCGCGTATTAAGGAAAAAAAATAACACCCATTTTTTTGTATATTGAGAATAATTAGACAGCAGATATGCAAATAAAGGAAAATTATAACGTAATATTATATGTTAAATAATAAAGAAGATACTTAAAAATAAAAGCGCTGCAAATAAAAATGCAAAATAAATAAATTGAAAAAGTAAAAAATCTTCATTTTAATTTTTTTTTAATACTATTTTTACTTTGATACAGAAATCTAAATTGAGACAAAATAAATTAAATAATTTAGTCAGAATTTTCCCGTTTTAAAAAATTAATTTTTTTCTAAATCAAAAATCGCCTGATATATTTAAATCACATTTATTGAGGCAAACAAAAAGTACAAGAAGTTTTTATTTTATATTTTTGATAACCAGTGTAGAATTTTTGACATAATCATACTTAAATATTTCTTAAAAATACTGACGATACAATTTTGGCAATTGTGATTGTTGAAAAATGGGAACTGATATAGAGCGGACATGTTCTCAACCTGTAAAATTTCTATTTTTTTTACAATACTAATTTTACTTTGATACGGAAATCTAAATTTAGACAAAATAAATTAAGGGGTAACGCCACGGAGTTCTTCGGAAATTTTCAAGGAAAAACGCCTGTTTTCCAAATTTTTCCCAACCTAAAACTTTTGTCCTATATTCTTTACATAATAAAGCATTGTTTAAACCATTTATTCAAGAAATGTTTTTTCATTATTCTAGAGTGGCTTTACCCCTTAATGCTATTGAAATTAGTAAAAAGTTTCACATATATTTTTCAGATGGTATACCCATTTTTTTTAATGTCACATTCTTATATCAACAATTCAGACAAGCAAAAAATAAAAGATAATGTTTTAAAATACATACAATTTTTATACTATTGAAGGCACAGTTGCTATTTTACAGGTTGACAATAAATTTTACTTTTTTGGAAACAAAGTTTAAAAATATTGTGTACCCTCCCTGTGGCAATAGGTGAAAGTGAGCGCTGTTTTTCAACATTAAAAAAGAAATATGTTTTTAAGAAATTCAATCAAACAAGAAATGTCAAGTGTTTTAACGTTTTGGCTGTAGTATACAGGCTGTCTACTATAAGAGGGCCACTCCTATGGATCCCACTTAATATACGCGACAATATTATAAAAAATGTAATAAATATAAAAAAATAAAGGCGACATCACATGAAAGAGGAAAAAACAAGCAATTTTTTGTATCCACAGCCTGCTTTGTTGACAACTTTTTTGTCCGCGTAGAGGGCACAGCAAATTACATATGATACTTCAAAATTTTGTTGACACCAGGTGAATGATATCAATTTGGCCATGAAATTTTATTAAAATAAATTTTTTCTATCAAAATAAAAAAGTTAGAAGGCCCTAAACTTTCGGTACTTATCTGTTTTTTTTTATGATTACTCGAAGAGTATAAATGCAAAACTTACCTTATCCACTTTTAAAAATTTTTAAGGAAGAAGGAATAATTGATTTCTCATTTTTCAAGTGACTTAAAGCTCTGAAATTTTTTTTGGTATTTATATTAGAACTTTAAATTTGCATCTTAACTGGTGAAATGACAGCACAATAATATTTGACTCCAAGAAAGTGAATTAAAGTTTGGATAATGTGAGTTTTGGCACTTCAGATCGTAGAAGAATGTGACTTTTGAAACAATTCACAGATTCCACAATTTAAAATAAATACGAAAATGTGAGTTTTTTACCACTTTTAAATTTTAAAATGGTGCAGTTCAACACGAACAAGATAGCGCCACTAACTCTATTTCGAAAAATCACACATAAAAAGTTGGCCATGGATCTCAAATTTGTTTTTACAAGCATCAAGACCTCAAAAAATGCAACAAAAACATATAAAGATTTTTGACGTGCATCGTGTATTAAGCGAGATACATAGGAGTGGTCCTCTTATAGTAGACAGTCTGTATAGTATAGAAAAAATGATGATAAAGCATATAAACAATTTCAATGAGAAAGTTATTGACTGCTTAACATTTAAAATGGAACGTGCGAGACCAAAAGGAGTGTAATGAAAAGGAAACTTGACCTGNAATATTTGACTCCAAGAAAGTGAATTAAAGTTTGGATAATGTGAGTTTTGGCACTTCAGATCGTAGAAGAATGTGACTTTTGAAACAATTCATAGATTCCACAATTTAAAATAAATACGAACATGTGAGTTTTTTACCACTTTTAAACTTTAAAATGGTGCAGTTCAACACGAACAAGATAGCGCCACTAACTCTATTTCGAAAAATTATGGATTATGTGAGTTTTGCATCTATACCCCTCACTCATAAAAAGTTGGCCATGGAACTCAAATTTGTTTTTACAAGCATCAAGACCTCAAAAAATGCAACAAAAAACAAGATTTTTGACGTGCATCGTGTATTAAGGGGGGCGTTTTTATGCGCAATTTTCAATGAATTTTTTGTCCAATTGTTTAAAAAATCTAAGCAAGTTAGAAACGATATCTCTTCACTGTACTACTCATACAAGTGTTCTTCAGGGTGTGAGATAACTGACAACACATTTTAAGTAAGAAAAAAAAAACATATTTTTTTATCTTACGTTTCCTGAACTTTACACGACTGTTGAACATACAGATAAAAGCGTACGGTATTATAAACATACCCACACCCAGCAGAATGCTTTTAGGATACTATTTATACATGAATTAATAAGAATTATTGAGTAGTTTTATAAATCAATTGGACAAAACAGGAAAGGTACGTGTTCTGATATTTTATATTATCCGTCATCTTTTCATGCCGAGCAATTGAAGAAATCCTTCGTATTTCAACATTTCTATAGTTTGGATACTATCGAAAAGAGGGCGATAGTCACAGTTGTCGTTCTAAGGTATTTTTTGCCGAACCAGAGCCGGACTAACTTCGATATGTT